GGTGTTGAGTCGTGGGTATAATTTCGTTGATTGTATAATTTCGTGGAGCCTATAATTTCGTTGATTGTATAATTTCGTGGAGCCTATAATTTCGTTGATTGTATAATTTCGTGGAGCCTATAATTTTGTTGATTTTGTTTGAGTTAAAGGTACTGTTATTATTTTGGTGACTCTTTAGCTATGAGTAGAATGAGTGAAAAAAAAAAGACATCATTCTGTTTGTGCAGTCAAAAGCTGTTTTAATAAGGGTTATACCTGCAAGAAAACATTCTTTAGTTTTCCCAAGGACCCAAACCGATAAGTACCACATTATAAGAAATTTTCATTGTTAAAAATATAATTTATACAGGGTATCCCATTAGTGCGTTATTGTTCATTATTTTGTTGTAGACACGCAAGAAAGTTTTAAATAAAAGTTATATGAATTTGAAAAATACCTACATATTTTAAAAATATCTTCGGATATACAGGGTGTCACGTTTTTGCCTGGCAAATTAAAATGTATGTTTTTTAAATGGAACACCTTGTATTTTATTTTATGATAAAATTATTAACACCCTAAATTATTGTAAAGACGAATTGATACAGAAAAATTTTATCAGGTATGTGTGTGGTTACCTTTTAATAAAAGCCTTGCGGATCCACTCCTCTGCGATACCTGTCTTAAATATAACAAAGATCACGTTGAATTAGATGATTTTTCTTTTTATTGCTTTTTAAAGGCATATGATAACGCCAATCCAGATACATTTGGAAATCTGCAACTGTCAAATGATGAATTTGTAGAACTAATATTCAATATTGAAAAGATATTTCAAAATAATTTTGAAGAATTGGCTACAAAAAATAACATTTGTACCACACTTTTAGAATTAATTAACCCAATACCCTTTAGTCATCCATGCTAACGTTTTCCAAAAGAATATCTTATTTTATTGTATGTTTAATCTCAATAACTAAAAAATATTCTGACAATTAGTTTGACAGAATTGTCATTTATTTAAAATTTTAAAAATAATAGCAGTCGGTTGATCAAAATATGAACGGTGATTGGCGAATTTATTTTTTTTGCAGTGTTCTCACTACCTAGAATGGATATGAAATATATTCGTTCAATTGAAGGCAATAGCATACTTTTTCGTTTTGTAATCTGTGCATGGATATTAGCCAATCTATGCACATACTACAAAACGATAAAGTATGTTATTGCGTTCAACTACGAATATATTTCATATCCATTTTAGGTAGTGAGAACACTTTAACAAAATTAAATCTACAAATCACAGTTCATATTTTGGTCACCCAACTCCTATTATTTAAATTTTTTTAAATAAGTGACAATTCTGTTAAACTAATTGTCAATATATATTTTAGTTATTGATATTAAATATACATTAAAATTTTTGTGTAGACTCGATAAATAATAGCATTTTTGTTTTTATTGTGTCCACATTTAAAAAAAATAAATTTTAATCAAACTACATGATACTAATTTAATTACGAGTATTAAAACTAAAGTCCTGAAAGTTTCGGTGAAGATGAGGACAGAGCATCTGCCTTCCACGCGAAAAGCCCGGTATCGAATCTAGGCCGATGACTAATTAATTTTTCATGTTAATTTTATTTTATAAATTAGTCAACTTCGTAAATTATTTTAAAATTAGTTATTTTGTCTAAATAACCTAAAATAATTTTTTAAATTTGTAGATTTTCGTTAGTGGGTCGTAGAAAAAATATACTGACCATATCGAGTGGATTGTTCATATCACAATCAGACGATTGAGTACTCCGCATACGACGTCGTGCTCAAACTTCGTCTTTGTGTGATATTGCTATCATATCCACCCTTGTTGAACAAACTATAATTTGTTTTCTTGGTTTAAACCAAAACTTAAGTTTTACATCAGAAATAGGAACTAAATTAATTTACTTTTCAAGTTTTCTTGTAAAAATCGATATTACTTTCTCCAAGTACAAATTTAGTACCTACCTAAAATAAGTACTAATTATGTAATATCGTGTAATATTGGAATTCAAATTTCACATTACTATAAAGTTTCAAAATTCCCTACTTCGCTATGGTCAGATAAAAATTGAATATATTATATTAATAAAAACTGTCAAAGTATTACTTCTACAAATCTGTATTTCAATTAATAAGAATACATCTAAATATAACCAATATTGTTAAAATAAAAGCACAAATTCTTTATAATTCCAAAATACCATAGAGTTCCCAGACCTCAGTCGAAGCATTCGTTTATCTAGGTATAAACCCTTTGCGCGAAGAGTAACACTTGCCAGAGACACGGGGTACCACTTGATTTGCATCCACGAGCGTGACACAATTCTTTAACAATTGAAGCCCTTGGTGTAAAAAGGATCCAAGCCACAATTTGTCGTGATGTGACTGTTTTAGCTCAAAACATTTGTTAACGAGGATTTTACTAGCCACATACAAATTATTTTACCTCTAATCCGAAAGATGTGCTATTTTTCGTAATATTTATATTTAAATAATGTTTCTAATTATATTTGACAGATTTAAAACAAATTAAAAATTTAATTTCCCAAAACTTACTTAATATGGCATGTAACCAACCTTATTACGCCAAGGTTTTCAATTTTTTCAATAATAAAAAAATTGTTTAATCCGGGCCCGACTTTTCCCTCGAATCTAACAGAGATAGCACCATTCCGTCTTGCTTGGTTCTCGACCGCCAGATCAAAGACGCCGACACGGAGTTGTGGAGCTGTATATTGTATAAGCTGTGGTAATACCTGAGAATAACGATCAAGGAGAAGCGACAGCTTGGTGTTTTTAGCGTACCGTTTTGTAACGAGCATGTGCGAAAATAAGTTGTGTATCACTCAAATTGATGTTATCTGTCAAAGTCAGTCCAAGTTGTGTTTAGTACGTGAGCAATGTTAAGTGATATTTTTTGGTGTTTGTTTTGTGTAGTAATAAGATGAAGATTTTTACACACTTAGGTATTCTAATGCAGATATAAAATATGCCAAAAAAGTTATTAGGAAACTAAGAATTTTATCACATTCATAAATATAAAGTATAATGATTTAATCATTTTTGACATTTTATTTTTCATGTGTAGGTATTTTATTTTGTGAAATATGTTTTCTTCTTTTAAATAAATTTAATAAACAATGAACTGAAGATTTTGTTTATTTTATTTGAAAATTATATTTAAAAAAATATAATAAATCCGCGTGTTTCAATTAGGATTGGTCAAAATGGGCGAAATCCCTTTATTATGGCTAAATTGTAAGGTACAATTATGTCAATATAAATATGTTTTGCCCATTCATATTTACATTTATTTAATGAATCATACTGGAGTTGATTTTGGAAATATTGGTGCATACTTAAATAAGTACTATTTCAACAAATTCGTCTATGCCCAGACAGCACACATAGTCCAATGTACAACACTTTAGATCTATTTGAGGGTCAGGACGTCCATATCCGGGCATCCAGTGTACGTCCGTTTATGCTAATTAAATTGACAGCTGAGTATCCATACCCAGAAAACGTCTGTTTTTAGACTTAATTTTAAGTTTAGTAGTATTTTGACGTCCAGTGGACGTCCATCTTAGGTCATTATTTATTAAGCCTACCAGATAATACTCATCTATAATATATACTTCTTTTTTTAATATAACTGGTCATTAAAAATTGACAAATTGAATCTATTGCATTTCATTCTATCAGCGGAAGTTTGAAATCTTATTCAATTATAACTGTATCTAGTAAAAAGTTTTCAAGTGGTTCCTTGGTCGAGCTCGTCTAGTAATTGAAAGCGTAAAACGATAATGGATGTGTCGTGAGTTCGAGTCGTGCTCAGGTCAAGCAATTTTTATTAAAAAAAAATAAATGGTGTATAGCGGTTTGCGAAAATAATAAACAAATTATTAATAATATAAAATAGTGTGTGGTAAGTTGCGGTTCTGTAAAAAAAGTGAGGATGTGGTCTCAATGGAAATATAATCTTGGACGTTTTTTGAATGTCCAGTATTCAACGTCCAAATATATTCCAGAATTGAACGTCCTCTGAATAGTCAAAAGTGTGATATTTGTATACTTCACTGGACGTCCATTGGATGTCGGAAGTCCAGAAAAAACTCATTTTTAAACGTCTAGACATCCAAAATTGTATATCGAATGGACGTCCAATGGACATATTTGTATTGTCTGGGTGATAGCCAGGCCAGGTATTTAACTCTAAATACATAAACCTTAAATGACATCTGGCTTAACTTGGCGAGAAAACACTTGTTTATACAGAAATGAGTGATACACTTGAAAGTCCTTTTAATATAATATAAATCCAGAAATTCTAAAAATATGTAAGTACTTTTTAAACCTAAAAGTTTTGAAAATATAAGCACATTGCAAATATTTAGTTAAATCTCTCAAACTAATGTCTTTTTAATTGTTACCTAAATTTTTTTTGGCACCCTTTATTTTATTTACCTTATTTTTACTTTTAGGAAAAGGTAATTTAATTTAAAAATTGGGCTTTTATTACATTTTTAACAATAAATAAACCAAATATTGAACAAATTTTATAGATAAATTATAAAATAATAAACGTCTTTTACTTTTATAACAAATAATTAATTATTACATAATGAATTATATTTTGGTGCCGAAATTTCACCATTGCTATTAACCCTAACTACTTCAATATAATTAAATCACATTACAACATTTGCGCATGGACTATAACAATGATTTCAGATAATTTGCCAAACTATTTCGCTCAGTGTAGAAAATATGCATGTTTTCTCAGCGTGCTAAGTTGTGTATCAATCAAAGTCATGCTGTAAAAAAGGTACATCCGATATCAAAGGCACCGACAGCTACTGTCGCTTCTCCTTGATCGTTATTCTCGGGTAATACCACAAAAAACCCAATAAACAACATAAATACACTGCCCAACAACCAAAATAATTTTAAGAAATATAATAATTCTTTAAAAATGAAAGAAATTACGCAAAGATCGTTCAGCCACGCATTTTACATAAAAGCCCCAGAAACAATGACAAGAAAAACACTATCTGATTTATGGGATAACTTAAGTACTGACAGCAACGAGGTTATTCTGCAAACGAAAGTAGGCTTTTTAATCAAATCTGACCAAAATAAACCGAATATTATAGACAATTTAAAAAACTCATTGAAACATATTTTAAACTACTCTGAAACAAAACCTTCAACTCAGACATCGGTATACAATAGCAATACATCAAAAAATACATATAGTGTGGTCATTGGATCTGTAGAACACGATATAACAGATGAAGAATTAAGCTCATTCCTTATGAATTCAAACATAAATCACAGATATTGTAAAAGAATAACGTCTAAAGCAATAAATAAACCAACATACATGATAATAATCATATCTGGATGCCTACAATCCACAGAAAAAATATTAAATGAAGGTGTATTTTATAAACACAAACATTTTCCAGTGTATCCTAGTCTGCCACCAGCTCCAATCCCTCAGCCGTGCTCTCGCTGCCAACAATTTACACACACAAGAGAAAACTGTACAACCTCAATTAAATGTAGCAAGTGTAATGGACCCCACCATTTCAGCAAATGTAACACACAACTTCCACAAAAGTGCGTAGGCTGCGGTGCTGAAGACCACTCTGCATGGTCTTTGAAATGCCCAAACCGGCCAACAAAGCTAATTCAAGGAATTCCCAACAATCTCATAAAAGTGTTAAACAAAAAATCTAAAGAGATAGATAAAAAATTACCACAAGCAGAAAGATTAATTCAAATATTACAGTCTATGATCACATTCTTAATACATATATCAATAAACTTAATAAGGAAAAAAATACACAGAGAGAAGAACTCATCGGAAAACTTAGAAAAAGATTTGTTACACAACACAATATAGACACTATTGCTCACTTCTCAGGAAACAGAGTATACATATTGATGTTTGATCTAGACGAACCACTGTCAATATCCCCTACACAACCCATTGAAGGAAATAATGCTCAAGTTCATGTCGATACTTAAAATTATATATGCTATATACCAAAGAAACATCTTATTTGCAATATAATGGAACAGAAAAACCACAACTGTGGATTATTCGTAGAAACTAAAACTAAACCAGAAAGTAACACAAAATACAAAAACTGGAAAACTATCCAGAAAAATGGAAATGTGGCAAACGTCAACACAAGAGGAGGAAGTCTAGTACAGATTCATCCAAGCCTACAAATGAAAAAAGAAAACCCTCCAAGAACTAACAATCCTCTTAATGAAGCAACACACTTTTCGGTTCCCTATTTAGAAGACAGACTACATATTATTTTGGTATATGTACATCCCAATTCAGTAATAGAACAAACTATCTTTAATAAAGCTGCACTATACAAGTACTGTATAATTATTGGAGACTTTAACATTAACAAAGCCAAGAACAAGCAGATACAGGATTTTACAAAAAATAGTCAGTTCAAAAAGACAATAACTCCACCAACATTTCATATGAATAATAATGATCTGATGATATATACAAAAAACAGAGAAAGCAATATAACAAAAATTGAAACAAATCAGGATTTGTGTTGTGAACACTCTGCTATAGAAGTTTCAATAGACCTAAACAAAACTATTAACTATCAAGAGGAACACAGAATAAATATCAACAAATGTAATATAGACGCTGTCAATGAAACAATGCTGCAATACATCACAGAAATAGCCAATAGGCCAATGAACCCCGAAATAATAACACAATTTAATGATAAATTAACCAATACCAGTAGGAACAACTCACCTAAAGAAAAAGTTAATTATTATAATTATGAACTACCGCCATTCATTATAAAATTAATAAAAAAACAAAAGAAAAATGTACAGAGACTATTTAAACAATCCTAGTGAGGAAGCCAAACGTCAAATTAATGGTTATGGCAAAGATATTAAAACTATTATAAAACATTACAAAGAACATAAATGGACAACTGTTTGCAATGAGATAAACGAACAACAAGGAAAAAAATACTGGCAACAAATTAAAAAATTATCAAAATATAAGCAAACACCCCAGATACCCCAATTGGAAAAGAACGGCCAAAAATTCGAAACAGATGAAGAAAAAGCAGCCATTTTTGCAGATCATTTCAGGGATGCTTTTATTGAAGACAGCAGCCCTCAATTTGATAACATACATTATGAACTAGTCACAACATGGCATGAAACATATTTTAGTAACACACCCAACATTCGAAATAGGCAAATAGATGAAGATGCATATTTCAAAATAGTGTATAAGGGGAAAAGTACAACACCAGGACATGACATAGTTAACAAGAACATACTAAGAAAACTAGATTATATTATACACATGCACATAAAAAACATTTATGAATACTGCCTTAATCATACGTATTTTCCTCCCGAATGGAAACATGGAATCATAATCACAATTCCTAAACCAAATACATGCCACAAGGAACCAAGGAACTACAGACCTATTACCCTTCTATCAGTGTTAAGTAAAAACTTTGAAACAATCATCAAAGACATTCTAGTAGAAGAAATTGGTCACAAAATCCCAGTATATCAGTTCGGGTTTCGAGACAAACGTTCGACAGTTTATCCGGTAACAGTAATAACGTCCAATGTACAAACCGCGAAACTAAAAGGCGAGTGTAATGCAGCAGTGTTTCTGGACATTAACAAAGCTTTCGACAGCGTATGGCATCAACGACTTCTATACAAACTGTGGTTAATGAACAGTCCTAAATACATCCTTTTCTTACTCCAAAATTATCTGTGCAATAGAAAAGTAGTAGTAAAAATAAACAATATATACTCACAAACATTCGCCCCTCAACAGGGAGTGCCGCAAGGTTCACCCTTGTCCCCAACTTTATACAATCTATATTGTCATGACATATTCAATTTTGATCAAAGAAATAACAATATAAACACGGATTTGTACATACTACAATATGCAGATGACACAAGCCTAATTAGTCACAATATAAATGTACATAAAGCCGTAGAAAGCTTACAATACCTAATTGATAGAAAAGAATTATGGTTTAACAGATGGAGATTAAAACCAAACCCCAGAAAATCAGCATTCATAATATTCAACCACAAAAAACATGCCAGCACACCAACTATTTCCATAAAAAACTAAATTTCAAGCAACACACTTCTGAAGTAAAGAAACGATGTATAACAAGAGCAAAACATTTTAGAAGTTTAACTCAGGGCCGCCGAGAGCCAGGCCGGGCCCAGGGACAATTCTCTACATCAGGCCCTGTCACAAAGAAACTTAACCAAAATCTTTTCATTTTCTAAAAAAAAAGGTCCCCACCTCGAAAAAAATATTTTCTCCCTACTTCAATTACTTCTTCTCATCTAGAAAAAATGTTTTCTCCCTACTTCAATTACTTCTTCTTCTAAAAAAAAAGTCCTCAGCCGCAAACAAAAACCATCTAAGCTAATAAGCTAAAACTTTTCCCACCTCCCCTTTCTCTTCTTATGTCGAATTTCTCATGCAGAAACAGAAAACCCTATTGTCGGGCCCCCCTTATAGCGCTGCCGGGCCCCCATTTGAGACCGGGCCCCGGGAATTAGTCCCGGCTACCCCCCCTCTAGTCGGGCCTGGTTTAACTTATAAAAAAGAAGGCATATCCCAGAAAAATGCTGCTCATATCTACAAAACAATATGCAGACCTATACTAGAGTATTGCCATCCAATATACATAAATGCAAGCAATGCTGCACTTAAAAATATTGAAGTAGCTGAAACAACTACATTATGATCCATTACTAAATCAAGACACCCATTACATAATCCACCTAATGCCCTTCTCTATGATATTACACAGGTAAAACCTATAAAGCAGCGATTAATAAATTTGACTCAGAAATTCTGTGAAGAAGAAGAGACTATAAATATACTTGAACAGCTATGCAGACTCCGTGATCCACTCAGGCATGTCAAGAGGAAGTTTCCTGAAACTACCATATGGGAATATATCACATCACACTGGGACCTTTAAGACATAAACAAACATGTGCAAAATTTAATTCATTGATTTTTTTTTTGTTTAAGATATGTTACATATTGTATACTATTATTATTATTATTATAACGAATCACAATGTTATTATCAGGCTGAAGGACTTCGGTCGATGGCCAGTTGGTTATGCCAATAAAGTACGTTTATTATTATTATTAAGAATATATGATCCAAACATGTTTTACTTTGTGGCCTCGTAAAAGTGTAATAGCTATTTATTTCCTCACCTTTCAATAATGCAACCAGGAGACAAGGTTTAATTCCTAGCAATGAGAAAAAATGCATTTTCAAAATTAGACCATTAAAAGTTTTATCTTCTAATTTATAAGTTCTTGATTACTTTGAATGTTAGGCTACTAGTGAACTTAAGTCGCACTGTTAGGTAATTAGGATACCTTCTTTATATTTATGTAATAATTTGTAATTTAAATTACTGTAAACTGAGTGGCTAATAAATAAAAATATATGCATTCAAATCATACACATATGCATATACCAGGAGTCCCAGGGACTCACTAAGGTCCCATACTTATCCTATTACTACTTAAAGACACATGTCTTTTTTACTGTAGATACTGGACATTAAAGCAGAAAGGTACTGTAATGCCCGTTCGGTTTGAGACGAAAATAAGGGAATTTTCAATGTGAGTCCCAGGGACTCAGGTGTCAAATTAAGGGTTAACGTCCAAACAAAACAAAAATTGTATAAACTAGCTCTGTACTCCATTGCATTTTGAATTGATTATCATGATTGGGTACCAAGTAGAATAGATAATAGTAAAACTAAAATGCACTACTAGTAATAAATTTAAATAATATCTTACCTTGTAAAGTTAAGCATGACAACTTGCTGGAAAGGAGTCCTGAAGAATCTAAGTTATTATTTTTATTTTGTACTACAGTTGACACTAGGGTTGGACGAATTGAGATTTTCTGAATAATTTGTTTTAGAAAGTTCATTATTTTTATCGCACAAAATCACAGAATTTTCGCAGAAATACCTATAGGTAGTAATTATAAAACACATGAACTGAAAACAACAAAATAGTAAGGTTAGATTTTGCAATATTTGCATTGTTGCCAATCTAATTAACTTCTATTATAAATGACAATTGGATAATATTCATTATAATATAATAGTCTCATTATTTATGTTTTGATTTAGTTTTAATGTAAACATGAGACAATTTAATTGTGGTAAAATTATAATATTGGTTGTATATTTAATATGGGTAAGCTTTTTAATAAAAAAAAACGAAAATTATTTTTTTTTTTCTATAATTTTTGACGACCTGGCAACAGTCCATATCTGGAAATTATCAAAGTTTCCTCACTCCACATCAAAAGTTTCCTTCAACAGCGCGTTTTGTAGTGTAACAGTTATCTTATAGGGAGCGCAGCATGTCTTTTTTAACTATGAGGTTGAACTGGAATTCAAAACAAAATTGGATATTGAATTGTGGTTTGTAGTTGGATTATAGCGTTGTTGTATGAATAACAAAGAACTATAGTAGGATAATCGAAATATAAAAGTTATTTGAGGCAATCGTGCCTGTCACCTACTGGTAAAATAATTCAACTAACGATTTTATTTGCTGATCAGATACTTACGCCCTCTAGCTCCAATGACTATAAGACTATACGGTCACAGAACTGAAATTAGGGGAATGGATTTGAAAGTTTACAAATAAGTTCCTACAAGGGGAATAAAATTAGCTATATCGTTGTATGAATAAATATAGTAGGGTAACCTTATGGACTTATCATTGGAGGACGATGGACATAGAATGTAGATGGCGATACTGTACTTATGTCCAAGTCAGGTCTTTAGGTCATGTCTGTGCTTGAGTATGAATTATAATTTAAAATCTTCTTCTTCATTTCTACTTGTCTTCGGTAATGTATTTTTATAGTTACAATTTACTATTTCAAATTATTACAAAAGCACAGAATACAGGGTATTTGAAGGTCACATAAAATGCGAAAATAATCGATATAATAAAATAAACCAGTTTTTGATTGAAAAAGATTGAATTAGTTGAGATTGGGTGGAATTTTACTATAATAGGGAACATTTTTTTCTATATTGTGGTTGGATTTTGGATATATCGCTGATGGTTAATTAAACTTGAGTTGTACGCTGTTAATTTATATTCACTTTTATTTAATGGTATCATCAAATTAAGAATAGGACATGAACAACTGAATATTATTGTTCAAAATGAGACGAATAGACGAAAATAAAAAATGTTTGAATAAAATGTTCTGAGATACAGGATGTTAAGTTGAAAATTAAAAAAAGTAATAATGGGTAAATACCTATATAGGTACGTAGTTATAATTTTATTATTCAATATAATTTTACTAAAATCGGCACTGACAAAATTTAACTAACAGATTTTTTTGCTGTTAGGTAAACTTATAACATAATACCAAACACGTTTAGTGAAATTATACTAAGTAATAAAAACATGTAAGCCACTAATTTTCAGTTTTCAACTTTTGACACCATTTGAAAACGAATCGAGTACCAATTTATGGTAGGCACATTTAGGAGTATTATTTTCGAAAGGCAAAATTAAAAATTTTTCATTGTTTTTTTTTTTGTACATGGAAATACTTTGCTGTATGTCCTATGTCCTACAATGATGAAGCTCTCAACGAAGGCGTCTTAAAAAATAAATTATAAATTATAGAAAATGCGAATGTTACATATTTGATTAGATAATTAACATTGACATAAACTTTCATTGCTCAGGACGTTAAGTGCTCAACTTTGGGTTTCGTAAAGATCAGTTACTGACTACTACTATTTTTTTCTGAACTGTTATCAAAATACTACAAAATTTAGCAGAAAGATTGCATTAATTATATTTTTCATATTTTTTCCAAAATAAGAAAGAATGTTTTTATATGTAATTGAATCTGGGTTGGGAAATCCAAACTTGAATGCTTAACGACTTAAGTCTTGAAGGCACTTATATCAAGTTAATTATCTAATCAAATATGTGACGTGGCTTTTTAAAATACCATCATTGTGCGCTCCACAGCGTGTTCATCTTCTACAAGAGAAAAAAGGAGGAAACATTTGTAAAGTTGCCTTGTACAAATGTGTACCAAAAGAGGGCAACTGGCTCTCGTAAGACTTTTTTGTTTAATCGTCTCATTATTTTAACACTAAGCGCCAGCATGGGAAATATATGTTAAAGTTAGTTTTAAGAACTTTTAACATTCAAATAAACAAAAACAATTTATAAATCTATTATTAAAATCCGTGTTGGAACAAAACATAAAATTGTTGAATTTGAAAGATAATATTCTAAAAATGGAAAGGATTTCAGTCGAGAGCCTGTTGGACTGAATATTCAGTTTAAAATCGCTTTTCCGGCCTATAAATCTTCAATTGTTTCAAAACGAATAAAATAAAGTAGTTCTGTCTAAAACTAAAATAAATTTGCTATCTCGAAGTCCCCATCGATTATTTCCAAACTTTTCTTTAACGTCTTAGTTGTAAGTTTTATATTACATTTTCTTTAATTTACTATTTCTGTGGAATCATTAATTTTCATTTGCATTATTGTTCTTCTAAAAAAGCGAAATGTGACTCACGGTTTGCTTGATTGGCTTTAATTTTTGAGATAGTCAACCAGTCAAAATAAAAAAAAATTCAAAAAATAATAAGACATTAATTTATTTATTTAATCAGTTTTGTCTGAGCTAACTGAAAGGCTGTATTCTATAAACAATGAAAAAGAGTGATTGTTGTTTTGAACTACTTAAAACATTTTCACTTGAACGGCGTGCGTGATTCAATTTAAAAATACTTTCCAGAATAAAACCATGTGTTACAGTTTTGACTTCATTTATTACTAAACAGCCATGTCATATACAAAAACGTTAATCCAAAATCTAAATTAAAAGTAATAACAAATAGCCTATCTACTAGGGTCGGTAACCAAACATATAAACAGAATGGGCGGATTTTGTTCATACTTAACATTATACTCGCGCACTGACACTTAACCTGGATTAAATATAACTGTAAACACAAATATTTTACAAACAAATATACTTTTCCAAACAGTGATAAATTATATAAAAAAAATGTTTTTTATAAGATTTTCTTTTATGTTCAAAGTTAGGACTTTATAATTATTGTGTCATTCATAGAATTCTGTACTAAATAAGAGCACTGATTTTGGAAATAAATTTTAACCATTTTGGCAAGTTGCTGAACCTTGTAACATTGCATAATGAAATATAAAGACTAACTGAATATGTCTGCCACAGATAGACCACTTGTAGGTCTATTGATTTCGTCTTGAGCTATTCCTAAAGAGTGGAGCTATTGAAAACTTCCTTTCAAGGTGATTTATTTCAACACTCAGAGCCAGCCGAGAGAACATTTTTTTCTTATATTCATGATCAACAGCCAAGATACATTTGAAAGTCGCTAATATATCCCTGTGACTATTTTTTTTTAATTTGTTTTCCAGTGTTGATTGATTTTTCCCTGATTAGTGTGATTTTCTTGTTCCTTAACTCAATATCTTGCAAACTGTTGATAGCTTTGATGAAATTTTGTAGCAAAGCTTGTTCAAATTTTGAAAACTATAAAAATATTCAGCTATTTTTATGGTTATAAACTTTTCCAACACTTAGTCCAATTAGAAGTACTTAGATTACATGCAACATTTTCAGAAGCTTATTCCTTTTTTGTTTTCTACTTGGAACTTTTCAATTTATTTAAAACATTGGACATTGTTATAAGTTGTTATTAGGTATTCTTTGTTATTGTTTATATATTTTGACATAACCGCACATAACCAAAATATTGACCAAAGTCCTTAACCACTTTTTATCACCTTAATCCAAAAATTTTATTCGTACGGTTTTGTCAGCTGGAATAAATTTTCATAATTATGTTTTTTATCATAAATTATTTTTAAATAAATAAAGAGGTTTTTAACTATAATAGGTAGGTGATAGAGGCCATGTGCCTGAACGAAAAGAAGACATAGATGGCGTATCTGCATAGCATTAAAAATTGACTACTTCATTAAATCGTCACTAGATGCCGCTCGAGATTGCATCCAACACTTTTTACTGTTGCATTATCCTACTATATTATCTTCATACAACGGCTATATCATTGTTTAAAGAGTAGAGATAGTTGGTCAGAGACATAGACCGAAAGGTTTGAATATTTTGGATACAGCAAATAGATGGCGACTATTTTTGAGTTCCCAAGAGTATATAATGAACGCCATTTTCTATCCATATGTCATTTCATTTAAAATTTAATTCCAAAAGAGAATGGATGAGTTACCATTTTTAGTCCACCTAAATGATTAACTTAGGAAAATCATTGTTGCCAGAGTAAAAATTATCGGAGAAATTTTATATCTAAATTAATTACCGAAATTACTGATTATTGTATTATTATATTACAGCCGAGACTACAGAGTTTAATAAAACAGATTGTCTTTTTAAATAATAATCAATTAAAACAAACCTTAAATGATTTAAATGGCAACATTGCATCGAAGCGAAGAAATATGTAGGTCAGGAAATTTTACCTGCAATTATTTTTGAGAATGCATAAAATAACAAATCTTTTTCTCTTTGTTATTAGATTAGGTAAATTTGAATCATGCGCTTGGCTGGTTGTTTTTATTATTGTTACTATCAGCTGCTATAATTAGCCGTTGAATAATTTCCTAAAACCTCTATGTAGGACTTACATATTTCTATGTACCTAATTAAGATTAGATTTATTATTACCTAAATTGAATATAAATATAATATTTTATTATATAGGTAATATGAGCAGGGTAGTTTTACCAGTTTATAAATTAAACTTCGTGCGTTAATTATCATAACATTCTACCTACTTACAATTTTGGTAGGAATAGGTACTTTTTCAAAATAAGAGATTTAATCTATGCAAAAAAAAATTAATTAAATTTTTAGGTAGATACAGGGATATAGGTAGGATACCTATCTACCCCTATCCTCTATATACCTACGTAGGTATGATTAAAGTAATTATCAATTTTATGTTTATAATTCCAGTACCCAGTACCTACTAATTCAAATATAAGTATGGTTTCAGAAACATGAATGAATACCTATTCCTACCTACCTAAAGTAGGT